TATATTGTTTTAATGTGAAGTTTCCATCTTAGTTTTCTCACATGAAAGAATAATTTTATTTTTTTATTTTTACATCTGATGGACTCATTTTCTTTTAGTACTTTTTGGTCTTTCAGTCAATTCATAAATGTTTTACATTTTATGCATATTGTGTATTTTTTTTTACTCATTTGAATTTTTCCTTTATTTTTGTTTTTTAACACTCAAGGATGCATTAATAGGCATGTGTTTTATGCATTAATAAAGTTTTAATAAACGTTCTTTAAATGCACCAACATGTATTTTCATGAGATTTCTGATAAATCAACTTAAACTTGTGCCAAATGACACCAACATGACTCATGGCTTTCCAATAAAGATCTGAGAAAGTTATGATTTGGACAGATTCAATCACTGCTGGTTAAAAGTCGTTTCCCTCGAGGGTCGTCTCCACTGAATATTTTAGAGAAAAAAAATAAGTTAGGTTTTCTGCTGAGAGTTTAGCTCTCAGCCAGCTAACAAGGGGAAAACGTGACATTGGCTTAAAAGAATTGTGGAATAAAACCAGAATCTTGCAAACACTGAAAGGACTTTCTGGCAGATGAGTTTTGGTCAAAAGGTTTACAGCAGAACCCAACCATGTAAAAAAAGCCAGGCTCCTAAAGTTTACAGAAACTAAACAGGTTTCCCCAGAAAGGGTCCTTTTATTTATAATGCATCTCCTTGGTATTCTCCAATACAGCTCAGATTTGTGGAGAGCATGACTTGGAGAAGTCTAGTCATTCTCCCACCCGAGTCGATCTCTGCTGCTCCTCCAGAGCAACCATTTTCTCTCCTTTGATTAATACGGGAATTCAATTTGACCAAAAGAAGATATGGAAGGAATCGTCTAATGTCAAATGTTTCTGCTACAAAGCTGAAATGCTATGATGCAAAAGACTCCATCAAATAAAATATAAAATAAGAACATGAGAAAAGTAATTTATCAAATGAGACCAAGGAATCTAAAAAATATATATATATATTTAAAAAGACATCAATGGTTTAAAATCAAACTTTATTCATTGCTG